CCACAGTCCCTGGGTCCGTTTTCAGTGCTACGGGAAGGGGGGAATTCCATCTGGCCCTGTAGCCTTTCCGGCTGGTATTCACTGGCTTGATTGCATTCAAGATCTAGGCTTTCGCTTCATTTCTTCTCATTTTTTGGCTACCTGGGAAGCTTTCCTGGTCGGCTTTGTACATTATACTTACATTCCACATCCCCAGTCCTATCCATGCGTTCATCGTGAGAAGAAACATCGCCTGGCTGACTGGCTTCCTGAAGGCATAGTTTCGGTAGTTCACTGTGTCATTTCACCTGCACCATTCCAGCGAAGAATGAATTCTTATTTGAATTTTCTGTATTTTTAATATCTATTTTTTGCGTTGAAGTTTCTCTAGCAGTTTGATAGCTTTTCTGGTGTGGGGTTGCTAGCCTCACGTCCAACCGTCCCTCTTTATCAGGCATTGAAACCAGCTAGAAAACTAGAGAGCTAATAAACTAGGCTAGGTTGAAACTTGGCAGAAAGTGTACGTAGTTGTCTGTTCTAATCGATTAAAACCAAAGGAAACGAGAGAAACGATACGCAACATAGTGATGGAAGTTTTTGGTAGCGCAAGTTTTAAGCAGTCTACCGAAATTATTAAGTGTTAAAAAAGTTGACTACTTATAGGACAAACAAGGTACATTCGTATCTCTGGTTTAGCTCACATCCTACTTAGTGGATGTAAAGGTGATTTTAACAAAAATTTAGAGTTATCTAATGCATCCTGGCGTTGGTAGCACAGCGGTAGAATGCTCACCAGCCAAACTGGTGGTTCGGGGTTCTATCCCCAGCCGACGTACTCTCTTACCTCGCTAAGCGAGTAATAAGACTGGTAAAGAGGGATAGTTCGACATGAGGCTATCAACCCCATTCCATAAAAATAAATGCTACTGCCATCGAAATTTCATGCCTCTAGCTTGAAGGTGCTCTATGTTCCACTGGGAACGCAAAGGAATCTTTTCTTACTGCATTCCGACTAATCTTAATCTTGTCTTGTGAGTTCCAAGTCTACCTGAAGAAATTGCCATCTACCTCATTAAAACGAATCTATATGTATACAAGAAATTTGCAATATGATTATTCCTACCTCGGATATCAAAACGTGGTTATAAAAATGTGACTATTTTCCTTTCTCTTTTAACCTTTTGCTAGTTATTACTGTTCTAAATATCGTTAGTAGTCTCATAAATTTTCTTCTACATTTCAGCTGATATTCAGCTCAGTGTAATATTCATAAATATTATCACATATCCACTAATATTAATTGCTCAGTGTTATTTGAGAAGAACACATGGATGACGTCAAGAATATGTTTACACAATTTAAAAATCTAATGAGGAAATTACTGAGAAGAATATTCTTTGTTCAGTCATTTTGTCATCTAAAATGTTCCTCGTGCTTACGTAACCTATTTTATTGAAAAACTCCATCTAGTTATTATTTAACCCGGGCATTCTGCTTAATTCCTTAGGCTACCAGGATTTTCGTCCATCAAAATGCCTAAACTCTACTTAATTCCCCACTGTTTTAATCATTCAGTTATACAGATGCCCACTACATGAACTGCCATGCTTATTTGATTAGCTTCTAACTAAACGCTATGCATTTTTTGAAGGAGATGAAGAAAAAACTTACAGAATTGGTTCTCTGCTCATATGTCACAACACTGCATCACATGATATGCTTCAGATTATCACTTCACATGTAAATCCCGTATGAAGAGAAAATACTTTGGAACTAAATACACTGAGAATTTCTGTACTGTGTTCGCATACTGTCTGAAATATAGCTTTATTATTATTATTATTGATTGGACCGAAGTGCTCGGCTATTGTTGACATGTTGGCCAAAAAATATGACGAAATGTGCATCTTGGATTCCACTGCTGCTCACCATCCATGACAAGAGAGGCCAAATACTTCAGTCGAATCAGTCAACGGGAAAGTCCAAATTAAATTAAATAATTAGTAAGACCCGTTGCACAAGAGGTGGATCTCGTGGTTCAAGTGATCCAGCGCATAACGCTTTAGCATTTGAAACTATGGGTACTGGGTTCGAGCCATCACTTAGTGGTACATACAGATAACGGCCCCCAAATAAGACAAGATACCCATTCTGGATTCTGTTGTTAGTTATCATCCACCAAATTTCTTCTATCTAGATAGTTTCCAGCGTCGGTTTAGGGAGGTTGATTGATTCCAAACTGCGTCCCAATCTGACGTCATTTAGAGAAGTTTATTTCTATCCAAAATTTTGAGCTCTATCCTCCTCTTCATTGGGAATATTCGTCTAATTTTTCTATAATTAGTCATTCCCATGACAGTTAATAAATCAGCCACTTAAACGTTTCCTGAATTAAGTTAATCAAAGTTTAAGTAAAGAACTCATTGTCAACATGACAAAGGTGTACTTTGAAACCTTTGCTTTTGTAATTTATATATCTTAGTATAATTAAGATTGTAAACAATTGGATACAATCTATGGAATAATACAATTGAGATCATAATCTCTATTTCGCTACATTTGTTATTCTCACTCTGACATCTCATGCTTTGAATAACTATTGATTTACGTAAAGATTCTACTCAACCAAAGTATTCACAAATGCTCTTCAGAAAAAAAACAATTCGTGGCGCCTTAATTCAATATGTACAAAGTGCATATTCGAGTATCTCGTGAAATATGTCTATGCTTTTGAAGTATAACAAAAACAACACCTATAAGTAAGTTGGTAAACTCATACCTGAGCGTGTAACAACTCAGTGTGTTACAAAGTACACACAAAATTATTAGATAGTCGACAAAGCAAATGAAGTTTCTCATGCCTTAAGAGTCAATGATCTTTCTAGGTTAATGTGACGTGTGTTGAAGTACAAGTTGGATATAATCAGATTAACTTATTTTACAAAATATCTCCTATTACACCTTATTATAAATCGATTCGTGATGACGTTATAATGACAACATTTCTGACAACACTGTATCACAGAAATTGAAAACAATAAGCTGTGATGATACTCGGTTGAATGAGAGTGGGAAACAGGTGATGGAATTCAGTTAACAATCATTTGAAGCCTCGATATATTGAGATTTGAAAGTCGTCGAGGTAGATTTCGTCATCAGTTAACCTCAGTGTCAACTACTGAAGAGCTGTGAATTAAAGCGAAGCACTTGTATGGTGCTTCTTGGTATCCAGTGATTGTCTAACTCATGTCAGTTTGGAAATGTCTCAAACACTCATGTGTAGTGAATAGTTTTGATTCGACAAATTGGCTACACTTGCGAATAGTGTTTTCGTTATTTTCATCACTGTTGCACTGAAGCACGTAAATGCGGACAACCACCTTCATTCGTGAACTGAGGTTGACGGGAAATATGGCCTCCGAGATCAACTGGATATACCACACAATCGGCGGATATTCTTCCGGCGGTAACACTCAATAAAGATTATTGTCGTTTATAAAACAGTTAAAACTCGTGAAAATATTTATACTGGAGTCATTAAATTTGAAATTTGTGGCAGAGTTGTTTGGCGTGATGAACTGGAGTTACCGAAAGTTAATAGGGATTCATCAGTCAGAATTCTGTGGGATCGTGTTCAAGGGAAATGAATGTGATAACAATGTTACCATTCGAGAGAGGAACATTTTTAGTGATCACAGTGGCATCGAAAAGAGTCTTCCCATCAGATTTACTTTTATGCCGTATTGAATATTAATTAAGCCTAGCCATATTGCACAAATAGAGTGTTGATATAAGTGGCAATTTTGTTTATGAATTTGCACGCACTTGAGGTAGGAAGTACCCTGGAAAGTGTAACTGCAGTTTGTCTTTCCGCCTTTTCAGCACATGTCAAGAAAGCTGTACTTTGAGAGGTAAATATTGAAACAGTGTAGTTGTCAGGCAACTTGTAGACACACAGCATCATTTAAAACAATAGATGCTCAGAAAATGCTGGAAAAACTAATCCCGATGAAAGCGTCTACATTAGAAGGCTTTCCGCTAGATGTATGCATCCTGGAGATGAATCTGATTAATCTCCAAGTTGTTTGGCTCCATTACATACATAATTGCACATACTTCTGTTGCTGTTCAGAATCACTAAGAAAAATATTCGCATGAACTGCAACTACACTTCAACTGCTGACTAAACCCATGTCAATTTGAAATTTATATTTTGCGAATCATGATCACAATCAATCAACCGGTTTGTAGGAGTAGAAATCTGATGGGTGACAGAATTTGTAAGTTGAGTTGCTTATTAACTGTCATTAGTCTACGGTGTTGATGGCTTTTCTAATCTGTTAGTCATAATTCAGGGTGGATATCGTGGTAAGTTGACATTACCTAGAGAAGTACTGAAATCTCATGTATGTTAGACAGCCGTTTATTTTCAGTTTTGGAGACCTATGACTGCTCCAGAGATCATAACCAGAACCTTCAGGTCACAAATAGAGGATATTTATATTCAGATGGTGGGGTGGAATTGAATGATTCTTAAATCTTAAATTCTGCTGATTCGTTGGACAGCATTACTGCATCGGTGGTTACCCATTCTCACCCACGATATGGAAGACTCCACCGGTCGTGACTTCTCGTTAGAATTCGAAAAGCCCACTCAATGGTCATACGACCGATGTCACGTTCGATTTCTTAACAGTCGTCATCTCAGTATGCTGAGTATGATTTCTGGATAGGTTACAGATGTGTACTGTTAAGCAGCCGGAAACTATGATCAAATAGCTTTCTAGTGCGACTTCATCTTGGATAGTTCTTTAATTGACCTCATTTTGTAACAGAATCTAGCATGAAATCATTTAACTCCTCACAAACACATTGTTTCAGCAGAAATCAGAATGATAAATCAATTAATTAGACACAGAACAAGTATTTATGCAGAGTGGATGTAAGAAAATTTATTCACACTGTTTCTCATCGGTATAGAATGTAGAAAGTTAACACCACCGTTGTCCAGTTTGGTAGTTTTAAGGTGGACAAAATCCTGGTCCATTTACTGGATGACCTTTAATTCTATTTCTGAAATGTATTCAGAAAAACAAAACACATATAACTATCTCGGTGTTTGTCAAATTAGAGAGGTGAGTTACTGTTGGTTAAAAGGCACAGCTCTCATTGAACAACATAGATGGAATGCCTATAAACGGTACATTGCCATGTCAATTTATTGTAGCAGAGTTAGAGTTTATTGTCTTTGAAATGTCACCCATAAAATGTTTGAATAGAATTAATTTTAAATAAAACTGTGTAACATTTGTTGAGAGTTTGAGAAACCATAAATTGTTTAGATGCATGTTGGTTTGGTTTGACTGTGGTATTCTTGACACTTTGGTTGGAGGCGTTTATGTTTAAACTGAACCGTTTAGAAATGTTGCTACTATAAAAAGGAAGGAATAACTGGGAGTTGGGTTTTTTCTACCAAAATGGTTTATCCTTTCTGATGGCTGTTCTTTATGAAGTGAATTCATTTTATAATGCAAAACATTGGTTACTTAGAATTTTCGCGTTTATTCTAAGAGGAGAGCCGGTTATTTTCAGTCGTCATAAGACACTTTTCCGACTTCATCTTTTTAATTACTTACACAATGACTGTAAGGTCACTTTAAACAGGACATGGAATGTTCAGTAGGTTTAAGAATTGTCCAATACGAAATAAAAAAAATCCGAGTTTCTGCAGGATACTCACTGGTAGTTTTCAATTACTAAACTGCCTCTCAACAATTAGGTTTAATAGAAGTATAAAGGTTAATCTTCTTCTTCTTCTATACTTAAATCGCCGTCTGTCTCTGTCCTTCTAGGAAGATGTGTGATAAGATGAAACATCCCCAATTAGCTGATGAGGTGGTTAACGGACAGTCAGTTTGTCATTTCTGCAAACTATCGCTTAGGATAATTTACGATTATTTTAGTGAAATGTTAACCTTGCCTAGTAAACTAGCTCCTAGTTTATTAGCCAGTCCCAAGACCGGGACGGTTGGGAGTGGGTTTAGCGACCCCACACCACTAAACCTATCAAACTGCTTGTGAAACTTCAACGCACAAAGTATGTATCAAAAATACAGAAAATTCAAATAGAAACTTATTCTCCACTGGAACCGGAGAGGCAAAATGACACAGTGTACTGGTGGAACGCTGGCTTCGGGAAGCCAGTCAACCAACCGATAGGTGTTCTCTCAAAAAAAGCAAGAATAAGAATGTGGACGTGGAACGTACGTAAAATGTACGAGGCTGACTGGGAAACCTGCCCAGGTAGCCAAAGAAATGCTAAGATATGTCAAAGAAGTGCTGGTAATCTGTGACAGCAGATGTAATGGATGTGGACTGTCAAAACTGTCAACTGGAGAGTCAGTAATCCACACTGGTCTGGTCACCCAGACGACAACGATGAGCACACTGAAGTATTGAGTGGCTGTCATGATGTCACCAGTGGCATTCGAAGCTCTAATGCAGGGGGGACCAACTTCATTTCTGGACATTTGACTAACAAAAATGACTGATGGAACTCTAAAGAGATCAATATATCGGAAGCCTACGTGGAACGGCCAGCTGAAAAACCTTTACAGTTGGGTGCCAATCAATTTCAAGCATAACTTGATATCTCTTGCCATCAGAATCCTCAGAATATGCAGCCCCGAATCAGCAGAAGAGGAGATCACTCTTCTGAGGAAGACACTACTTGAGAATGGCTATCCATCACGCTTTATAGATAAACATATAAAGCTGAAAATCAACAAAATATAACCCATCTCTTTGCCTTAGAAGGTGCTATACATGAATGTGGCGTTCAAAGGCGACCTTCTGGCCAACATCTTAAACAGATGAATATCTAACTCCCTGAAAAAAACATTCCCTGATGCTAAGTTATGATTCGTATTCTCAAGCTGCCCATTCTTCTTCAACAACTCCAAAGATAAACTATCACAGCTGGCTACTTCTGTGTGCATCTTCCAATTTACTCACTCATGCCGAGCGAGGTAAATAGGTCGTTTGAAGCGTGTTTTATCTAAAAGAGTCAAAGGAAATTATCCTGATTGGCTACTAGAAGGTAACAGTGGATCAATAAAGAGTGCTATAATTGAACATATAGTCAACACAGGCCATTCACTATGCGCGGAGTATTCATTCAACGCCATCTACAAAGTCAAAATAAGCCTCCTGAAAACGGTAAGCTTTCGTATCCTTTGCATTTCCGAGTCCTTATCAATCCGAATAGAAAACCCTGATTTACGCACACCGAGGAAGCTTCTTCACCCCCTCCTTCTAGCTTGGGTATAATTCCAAGTTCTACGACTTTGTTACTAATGTTTTGTTTTCTTTTTTGTTTTTTTTGAATTTTTCTATGGCATTTTAGTAACATCTTCTTCTCAACCAACCCTTTATTTACTCTTTCTACCTATTGCATGATGTGACTCTTTTGGACATGTGTCTCCATTAACATCCTATTTCATATTGAGCAACCCCTGTCAGTTCTGACCAATCTTCAATTTTAATTATTCATCACATTTTAGAAACATTATAATTACATAAACAGTAACCCTAACTAATTGTCAGTGTTTTAATTAGTTAATGAATTTGATTTACATCAGTCTATCTGTTGAGTGAAAATTGATCTGAGGACCTGGTGTCAAGGTATTCTTGACATTTTTAGTGCTTCCACGATGTGTTTTTTCTGGTCGACTACCTACTGTTCTAGAATTCAAAGTCGACAGAGAGGTGGTGGTGGTGTTCGTATTGAGACGCATACTCATTAATTGTACCTTCGATTCCCAAGTCATTATGCGCTAGGCTACGAAAGTCACTTATTGCCAACAGATATCGCTTATTTACATTTGTCTTGGATCCCCGTATTGGTCATCGCTAAACGAGTAAATTCAAGTTATTAATCATGATGATATGAACGTATCCATCCTAGGTGTTCATGTATTTGTGTTTGGTGAATCCACTCCAAATACATAAATGGGAAGATTACAAGTATGAATTCATAATGAGGAGAAGTATATTTTAGGATTATTCAACATCAGAAGACATAAAAAATTATGATGTGCTAAAGGCATATGTGAGAGTGCAATTTTTGAAATAAATGTACAGAAAATCTTGGTTAAATACAAAACTCACCTGAGCATTCTACACTGAAGTTCACTTAATCGTTGACGAAAATCCTGTACATCTCCAATATCTTCTGACCAAAGACGTTCAGCTACAGCAGCTCCTCTTGGCCTTGATTTTTTCAATAAATAAAAGGAAAAGTGATAAGATCGAGAAAGAGAGAGAGAGAGGGAATGGCTAAAACTGACATGTCACCACAATTAGATCAAGTTTTTTTCAGTACAAATATGCAGAATACAACTTGAATTTTCATCTCCATACACGTTCATTCTTCAGACAGTTTATTCAGTCCTGTTGGAATTGATTTATGCGGACAAAAATGTTAGAAGGAAATACTGAGCTAGTTAAGTGACACTATGAAATTCAGTCGTCATAGTAACGAAACTGGTTAAGTACCGATTATGAATAAACTCCAGTGGGTCTGAGTCTAAGAAACCCGGAAAAACTTGGGAGATGAAGGCGAATGGATAACGTTGTCTCACAGAAATGCCTTTAAAGAACATTAACACTGTTGTGCACCTATGTATTAAGTTACGATAGAATGAATGTTAACATGATTTCGAAGTGTTGATTCAAAAGTATTTCATCGATTTCATATGATATCAAAACAGACAACAGTTACATGAACACAGTAAACCAGGAATTATTAGGAAGCTGTTTCGGCCTGGTTTGGGACTCTCTGACAGTATGCACCCATGACCCCACAAGGAATCGAATCCATGCCATTTAGGTCACGAAACGACTCAGTTTACCCTTCAGCCGCTAAGGAGAATAAAGTTACCCATGAATTTAACTGTAACCATTGACGGCTGGTACTGTACACTGAAAGTTGGCAGAAGTCAAAATTTAAAAGTCATTGGAGTACGTCTCAGTGGGTGAATGGTCAGTCAGCTTATCTCATAATCTAAATGTCCTGTTTTTGGTCCTCGATATAATCACGCGTATGTGCTGATGGAAACTCTCAAACTAAGACATACGAGTTTATCAGTATAAGCAATGGAAAAGACTGTAAATCGATAGGGCAATTGACTTACACCACTGTCACTTATTAACCAAGTTGTACTTAATTAACGTCAAACTAAGTACGGCTAACATGAAAAAGAAGGGTCAGAAATTCTGTGATGTAGAACAAGTAGTTGTTTTCAGCAAGAGGTACATACCTACCTATATAATGATAGCGCAAGGGGAACCTAACTTACCACAACTATGAGCAAAAATAGGTCCACTAAAGCAGTGACTATCGATGACCAATGTTGAATATAAATACCGGTGTAAGCTGAGGTTTATTAGTGTAATAAGATGAAATTATTTTGACTGGCAGCTTATTCTCTGTCATCGAATTTCTCTCGTCTACAATTTACGTGATGCAAATTTGGGCATATGAATAGATGAAGTAATTTGTAAATGATAAAAGTGCCAAAAACTCATTTAGCTCATCGAAATGTTTAGTGCACACAGGCTCATTTAGATTGCTCGTTTTATCAACAGCTATAACATGGTGTTTGTTTTATGTGAACAGCTTTTGAATATAAGACATTCTGACTATGTGATTCGGTGTAATACCAGCTGGGAACATGATTTATAGCCCTGTTTATTCATGTTTTTGGTTTTATGTTAATGTATGTAATGACAGTTAAAAGTTTGAGCATTGTGGAATAGATCAAATAAAGTATAATTATATTTCAATAGCTTACACACACACTTGTTACATGTATCCGGTGTGACCTTAATGAATATAGATTCTGTTATAAGTCTTTCTTTCCATTTGTTCATATTAGTTTTCAGAGTACAAACATCATTCGAATCTATATTGTGGTTTATGTCCCATGCATGTGCAGCTAGAGATGAATTTTTTTCTAAATTCTTGTAAGCTTGTGTTGACCTTTAGTTAGGCGTTTATGTTCATTCACTCTTATTTTCAGTGATGCTATAGACGTTTGGCCCACATATTTAGTCGGACACTCGGCACAAGATATTTTGTAAATCAAATTGTTTTTATCCATCATTTTTATGGGATCTTTCAGTTTATTTATTTTATTTTTAATTAGATTCGTCGGTTTGAACCTGGTGCGAAACACAATATTTTTGAGGTTTCTTCGAATTGCCTTTGATGTACCATTTTTGTATGGCATTGTGACTGTTTGTATGCATCCTTTCATCTTGTCATTCTCCAGTTTTACCCTATTTTTTTCTTTTTTATATTATCTTTGATAAATTCTTTTCGATAGTTGTTGTCGAGTAACACTTTGAATAGGATGTTTATTTCTCTCATGTTGTCGTAAGTCTGCAAATTCTATCTGCAAGACGTTATATTAATCCTCGTTTTACCGTGAGTGGATGAGCTCAGTGATAATCAAGGAATCTTCCAGAGTGCGTAGTTTTTCTATATATCGTCGTTTTTACGCTACCATCTGTTACTCTTTGTATTTTACAGTGTAACATAGGTAGTTCCCCTATTTCATTCTCTATTTCCACAGTGAATTTCATTGCGTCGACATGACTGTTTATGTGTGATGAGAGTTTCTCAACATTATTCTTTTTCAGTATTACTAACGTGTCGTCTACATATCTCCACCAACATTTTATTGATGACCTGAATCGTTTAAATGCATTCTCTTCCCCAAAATCCATGAATATTTCAGCTATTATTGGTGAGATTAGCGATCCCATGGCTACTCCTTCATTTTGTTGGTATATTTTCCTTTCAAACGTGAAATATATTGTTGTCAGACAGAATTCCACCCCTTTTATTATCTCTTCTACGGATAACTGTGTTTTGTCTTTTAGGCCATTGTCTTCTTTTAGTCTCGCTTTCATTGCATTCATGGCCATTTGAATGGGTATTTTAGTACAGAGACTGTTTATATCAAAGCTGACTAACATTTCCTCTTCCTCTATTTTAGTGGTTTTTAGTCGTCTCACTAATTCAAATGAATCTGCTATTCTAGCTTTCGAATTGCCTCTCGTCGGTCTTAGTACTGTTGAGAGAAATCTTGACAGCATATACGTTGGTGTGTTTCTAAAGTCTACAATCGGTCTTATTGGATATCCTTCTTTATGCAACTTTATCTTGCCCTATATCCTAGGTATATTACATGATTTTGACATAATTTGAAACCATTTTGGCTTACTAATTACTTCTTTCATCTGTCTAACTACCTTTGCTGTTTCTTTTGTTGTTTTGTTTGTGATTGTTTCTGCTGATTTCGTCATTAGAATATAGTGTCCAGATTATTGTTTAGTTAAGTAGTACTGTTGTGTTTCCTTTGTCTGCTTGAGTAATGACAATGGATTTGTCTGCTTTTATGTCTTGAAGTGCTCTTAGTTCTTCCTTCGTTATATCCATTTTTTCTGCTTTTTGCTTGAAATATTACCAAGAACAAACCTTACCATTGTGTGTAAACTAATGAAATATAATTATACCTTATTTAATGTATATATCAAATATATATATATATATATATATATATATATATGAACCGAATTGTTCATAGTCATTTTGCCACACTAGCTTCTTTTGCCAGACAATTCGATCACAGACGTATCATTTCAACTAATACTCGGTGGTTACGAGGTAGCGCTGTTGGTCCAGTAGCCTAGTTAATTATGTTTTGGCATTTGTTACGACTGATGTTGAATTCGAGTTTTATTGAAGTAATACATGTAGGTTGACAAGTTCAAAATAAGTCAGAACACGTCTCATGGATTCTACTGCTAGTCACCATCAAACGAGCCTTTTCGTGATTTTTATTCGTTCGGATTATTGCAACAAGAAGATAAGTAAATCATAACTTGAAATCCATTTGCTCATTAAATCCATTTGACTTGCATTGAATTTATTTCAGTGCAGTATATTAAATAGGGATAATTTGCTTAGTTAATAAATTGTATACAGAGGATAAAATGTCAGCATATCCCCAAAAGGTTTATGAAAGTTGATTTCAGGGGGACAGCCTTCGAATCCTCGTTTCATCCAAGGTTCCATCTTAGATTTAATTATTCTGCATCACATATTGCATCGTAGCGTCGGTGGCACAGTGGTTAGGACGCTCGCCGACCATGCACATGGTCCGGGGTTCGATCCCCGGCCAAAGATGCACTCCTTTACCTCGCCAAATCAGTAATAAAAAGCCGGTAAAGAGGAAAGGTTGGGCATGAGGCTAGCAACCTCATCCTGTAAAAGTAAACATTGCTACAGAAACTTCAAGCCGATAGCTTGAAGCCCTATGCTCCACTGGGGAACGTGAAGGAAAAAAACATATTGCATCACACTGGATAATGAAAACCAGGTGGCTAGTCAGAAATGTTAAGCAAAAAGCTGTTCAAGCAGAGAACCAACGAAGAAAACAGTATGCAGAAGGTACTAGAGATGGAGTGAATATTCATCGAAGAGACCCATGAGTGTCTTCATTCAATAAACCTTCGAATGGAACACTTAGAGGAGGCAGCTAGGTGGGCTTTTGAGAATGAGGTTTAAGGACTATACGAAGAGGGTATAAAAGCTTGCGAGAAGATGTGGAGCTTGCTGGAAAATATGGTGACTAAGAGAATACGATGGAGATGTGTCTCCCACTTGGAACTCAATGGACTAATACTAATAACAACAAGGTATGTATACAGAATTCAGTGAGTAAACAGAGAAAGTGTTTTGTAAAATATTCTCACCAGGCTAGAGGTATTAGATTTGTTTCATCCACATATTTACTCCATATAGCAGCTTCACCACCGATCACTAATTCCAATTGTTCAGGTGAACCTTTAAATGACATAATAAAGAAGAGCATGTCTGTAAATTAGCAGTCTTTCAGCATTTAAAAACAATATCCGCGGACTGACTGGCACCACCTAACTGCACAGACTATATTGGTATCATCCTTTAATTGAATACCGAGTAATAATTTAACTGAAGTTTGCATTGAAATTCTAATTTAAGTGGCAAGTGGGTGATATTAAGGCTTAACTTACCAATGGTTAGTGATTTTCATGCACTCTTGTCACGGTTGAAATTGAGTATCCCGTAAGAAATATCTTGTGCCAGGCAACGATACAAACTTGTATGAAAGCCTTGCTCTGAGACTTCAATTGGTCTTAATTTCTTGCCTCCCATATATGTTTCACAATCATCTTCATCTCTCCTTTTCGAAAGTTAATCAGTCTCTCCAGTACTCAAGAGTTTTGCAGAAGACATCATATACAATATATTACTAGAAACTTCTCGTCATTGGCATATATATATTTAATTATTATTCCTCCGGATTCCTGGTGGAACATAAGGACTCATTAGGACGTCTACATTCCACCCTGTTTACTGCATTTTTCTTTGTTTGAACCCCGCATGTCCCATTAAGTTTCTATTCCTTCTCACATAATCTCCTCCATGTTACTCTCAGACGTCCGAATTCGCCATTTCCCATACTGGTTCCATAAGAAGGCGTCGTACGTGATGTCACTCAGTCGTCTGCCCAGTGTGTGCCCGATCCATCGCCACTTTATTCTGGTTGGCTCATCACCACTGTTCCTTATCGCTAGTCAGATCTTTAGTGTGGAGGCAGTGAATAGACATTAGTGTTAAAAATCCAAATTTCGTTCTTCATGTTGAGTGCAGTGGACTTCCACACTGATTTCAGAATAATGGATGTCAATCTTAACTTTCAATTCTCGCTTTGACATGTTCATCCATTATTGGTGCAACCTAACTTATTTATGCGAATTTGAGATCAAAAATAGGTCGAAAAACGCCAAATAAGCCACATCCTTAGGTTAAACATTAAAACTTGACTAGCATCATTATTAATATGGAACACGGAAACTAAATAACACGTCGTCTTTCTCCATGCATACAAATACCCAAACAAAAATACCTGACACGTGAATAACTGTATAGGATTTCAAGTGGCACTTACCTTCAAAACCCCTGATATCCTGTTTATAATACCATACCCAGTCTCCCTCGTATACCAGAGAATTAAGATTCCAAGCACCGGAAACAATCACCCTATATCCTTTCTCAGTGGCTTTTTTTGTTACAGTTTTCCAATTTTCTGAGATCCATGCATGAATTATTGTACTGTTATCACCCTATGAAATAAGAAAAGGTGTTCAAGGAGAACTTCAAACAGAGGGTGCATTTGTCGGTAATGTTTAGTGTAAGATTACACAGAAATCTGAAGAACATATTCAAAGTCTAAGTACTCCTATAAGTGTACCAATTGTAACCACAGATTTAAAGCTGAGAGTTGAAAATGTCAGTTAGTTTAGTCAGAATAAAATACATCAACATTCTAAGAAACCTTAATCTTTAAGTTTTTTCTTATTCTGTCAGCTATTTGAAAACTTTTGTCTTGAATTTTCAAACTTCACAGAAGTTCTCTCCTCCCTAAGCCTTTGATTATACTTAAGATAGTTAGCGATTGATTAAGGTGCTCAATAAGTATCATAATTAAAGAGAAAGACTGGTAAAGTGTAATTTTCTGAGAGGGATGGTTGAATTATATGTGAAGAACTGTGAGAACTCGAGTCCGATTCTTGTTATAACAAAGTTTTCTGAATGAACTACGACAGAGTCAATTATTCTAAATAAAACCGAATGTCGAATGAATGATAATGTCCCAATTGTTTATGTTACTGCATAAAATTCAGTATTTTCCACTGAGTAATCTCATTGGACTCAAATATTGGGTAATTGTTGAGGTGTTGACCTCAAATATGGACATTTGAATGATGTCTGAAGATTAATATGATATTATTTTGGTTGGTTGTAGTGACTAGCAGCTAGATGTGTCTGAACCCCAAATGAACTAGGATGTTCCCAGTGAAACTGTAACTCTGAGCCCATCGTTTCATACGACAAAGCGTTATCGTGGAAGCGTCCGTAATAGGAGCCGACGTGTCATCAGAGGTGGCTCTCGTGGCCCAAGTGGTCTAGTCGATAACGTCTTTGAAAAGACAGGCACTGGATTTAAGTCTTACTTGGAATACAATCACACAATGACAAAGCAGAAACATCCAGCTGAGGATCCAAAAAAGAACGAAACCCATCTCTTAACTTCACTGTGAGCCAAAGTTAATCAAATAACACTATTGTAGCATACTTCATCTAAGTAAAGTAGAACCACATGAACTCTGGATCACTGAATACCTATTTACAAGAGGTTGTTTACAGAAAATCAATTTGTTAAGCATCACAGTCAAGACCAGAATGATTCATTAGTGGTGAGGATGATTTTGACAAAAATCAAATAGAGTTTTGAACTTGAAGTTTTTGTATGGAGGGAGTTTAAAATCTTTTTCATTTGAAAGTCTGCAGGAAGTGTTAAGTTTTTCGTAAGCACTGTGCGGCACAGATTGTCTATACTTTCCGTATTCTCAATATTTGGTTATCCACAAACTTATTCGAGATTTGTTTTGGATTATGAAGACACATTTTCGCAAAAGTATTTCCGTTGTATTAAGCACAGTAATAATAAAGGCGTTTTTAGATAATATAGTTCCTGCAGAATAATTCCAACTAGTGAGTAATGAAAGCACATATCTTCGAACTTAGATTTTAGCTGGGAACTAGGGGGCTTTCGATAAAACTCGTCAGTACGGGCACCAGCAGTCTGCACTCATAGATGGAGATCGTGAAGAGGCATCAAGGGGTATTACAAACTTTTCTCTTTCTCATGGATCCGTTAATGTGCATAGCATCCATACAATTGTCAAACAGTGTTAGACAACATGGTGACATGTTGGAAAATAGTGAGGAGTGGTCAATTCAGAACATGACATCAGTCAATAAATTCTTTGACTTTTGGTCTGAATGATATAGGAAGGTGCAAACAGGTGGGTTATGGTTGTCGAGGAACCAACAGCCACAGACCATTAGTGACATGGTTCAGAATATGCCTTAGTGACGCCAATACATTTAATCCATATGAACTTCCAGATGTATGAAATTCTCACTATTCTCCATGTAGTTATTCATCCTATCATACATTTCGGTTAGTTGTAGTTTATCGGTGCTTCAGAGGTAGAACGCTGACCACCCACGACTCATACGGTCCGGGATTAGATCCTCAGTAGACACACTTCTTAACCTCGCTAAGCCGGTAGTAAGGCAGGTAAACTAAGACGGCTGAGCATGAGGCTAGCAACCCTACTGCGGAAAAATAAAACCACTGCTGCAGAAATTTCAAAGCTCTAGCTTGAATCCCTTTGTTTCACTCTGAACTTGAATGAATAAAAAAGTAGTATTTCTCCGCCACTGTTATTCTCTACCTTCTTATTTAATTAATATGTGCGTAAAACTTGGGCATTGTGGTAGTCCGTATTATTTTAGTATTTTTTGTTTTGTTCCTTTGAGTTCCAAGTGGAACATTTGAGGTTTGTTGTTTCAGTAGTAGTGGCATTTCTTCAATCGATGGGGTCGCTAACCTGATGGCAAACCTTTCCTCCAGACCGGGCTTACTTATGGCTAGGGTAGGGAATCGAACCCTGGACCACGTGCATAGTTGTCAAGCAATTTTCCCCATGAGTATCACGCAGTGAGACAGTTTTATTCACTCGAAGACGTTTCAGAGACTATTTATTGTTCATAGGATTGTGAATTGTAACCACATAACTTCGAAATCTGAGACTTATGGTTCTGTTTATTCCATCCCACTCGTCTTAGGAGCCTAAAAATTTTCTAGATGTCCAGGACAGGTGTCGAATCATCCCTGCAGCTTGTATTTTCAGCTGATTCAATAATTAAAGCTTCCTTTATTAGCACAGTATAACAACGTAGCGTAATCTAGATTAGTCGACTCTCATGAGATAAAAAATCTGGTGAAAACCTTCCCTCTTGCTCACAATCACACAGTCTTGTAGTCTAAAATAAAATAACAGGGTGGAGGAAGATATTGACAATGGGAGGTTTATTTTCGGAAAAAACTGGGAATAAGTGCAATGGCAATGATTCAACACCTGTCCCAGATATCTAGAAACTTCTACTACCACTATGATTATGAACGAAAAATTGTGTCTGAAAGGTTATCCGGTAAATAATACTATTTCACTATGTGATATATCCTATAAACAAATTAATATGGAATTTGTGTATGCTTTTATGAAATGAGGTAACTTGAACTGCTGCAATTTTGTACAAAATTTAACGATGAAATTTCACTTCAGAGTTAATCGCTTTCTCAAACACTAACGGATGATACGCAGTGTGTACTGTATAATGTACTAGCACTACTGGTGATCATCTAAGAATTATGTTAATGAATATCAATTTTAATAAGGTACATTTATCCAAACATGATCTCAGCTTAGCTGTTGACAGCTGAATGTAAAGAATCAGTCAGCTATCTTCTCCCACTACTGAAGGTTAGATAGCCAGAAAGGATTGTCACCACGGAACTCTGGAAACGAACTAACCAAGAACTTGTTGTCCAACAAATATGCAGGAAAAAGGGGCGTTGGATAGAAAACTCACTGAGAAGAACTCTGAGTGGCATCACATGCCAGGCCCTCAGGTGGAACGTGGGTGAAAAGAGACGAGTTAGGTAGTCCAA